GTTCTTTGAACATGCCTGCTTCATTCCCAAACCTTTTCACATGCTATTCTCACTGCCTAAAATCCTTTTCCCTTCATAGTGGACCCTTTCTTCTCACCTTGACAGATCTCGAATGGCCTTGTCTTCATTCTGCATGGTATCATGACCTGGAGTTCTCTTGTGCATTGCTGTGTGTTGATTTGTTCATTTATTTATTTGGTCTTCTTCCTATACTCCATCATCCCCATGACAGAAAGGAACTTGTCCATTTTGCTAATCACCATGTCTTCAGCACTTCATGCAGTGTGTAGCTTTGAGGGAACTAATGAGTGAATGAATGAAAATAGCTCATTGTCACCAAGCACTTACCATGTATTGGGTACTGTTCTCTTTGTGAAAACTGCTGTTTAATCATTCTTCCATCTGAGAGCAACCTGGTGAAGTAGATGTCATTTTATAAAGAAGGAAACTACAGCACAAAGGGATTGAATAAATTTGCCCCAAATCTATGAGCCCGTAAGTAATAGAGCAAGGATGAAATCCCAGGGCAGTTCCACTCCAGACCCCACAGGTTTAGGTATTGGGTGCCCAATGTCATCAGGACTTAACATCCTGATGTCTAGGAAACTCTAACTGTATGAGGTTAAGTCAGGGAAAGCAAGGACCAGAAGGCAGCCCTTTGACCCAGACATCCTTTCCAACCTTTGCCTTCCACTCTACACATGCTTAACAGTTTCCCTATGCCCACTGTGTGCATTCTCATTTATTTCTTCAAAGTGTAACCATTTACAGATTATTTACACAATCTTAGTGGAGACCCTAACATCTACAATACCAGTTGGTGCCAACCTTCAACCCATGCCTGGGTTATTGCCTGCATATATAGATGATAAATACTTGGTTAAAGGATTTCTGAATAAATAAGACATTTTGAAATGCCTTTCAAGAGAACACAGCAAAGCTGTTTAATAAAAGAGAGGCATTAAATGCAAAAAATGCTTACAGAGCAAGCACAAATCAATATGTGTTCTTTGCCTTCATAAACCCAGTGCCTCAAGCATTCCCACCCCTGGGCCTTTGCACATGTTGTTTCTGTTATTGAAATGCCTTCTCCTCCCACATGGTTTCCCTGCTTACCTGTTGTTGGATGTGTTCACTCTTTGATTCTTTTACTCTTAGCTCTTTTGGGTGGCCCACCACCAAGTTTCCAAACAAACCACATATGGAGTTTTATTCTTTCTTACAAATTCCTGGCCTTAGCTTGGGTTTTTTTCTATCCAACTTTCCTTAAGTTATCCCACCCACCTTCTGCCTCTTGGCTTTTATCTTTCCCTATTTCTGTATACCTTTATTTACTTCTTTCTTTGTGGCTTGTTATGTAGCTGGGTGGCTGACCCCTGATGTCCTCCTCCTTTTCTTGCTCCTTGATCTTTCCTCCTAGATTTCTCCTATTTATTCTCTCTTCCTGACAACCCCACCTATCCCACAGCTTCCTTGTTGGCCATTCAACTCTTTATTAGACCAATCAGATGTTTTAGACATGCCATGTAACACAGCTTCACAGAATTAAACAAAATCAAAATAAAAGAATACAACACATCTTTGCATCATTAAACAAATGTTCCACAGAATAAACAAATGTAACATACCTTAAGATAATATTCTACACTTACTTCCATGTTTGTCCCTTGGTCTCAGGTTGGGCATCATCCCTTCAGAAATGTGTTTTCTGGTCTCTGCTCCCAGTCACTTCTTCCTATCACACACCATAACCTGAATTTATTCAGTTTCCTCTAGAGTTCTTTGGTGAATGTTTTCTCTCCCTGTAAATTCCAAACAAAATAGACAACATCTGTTTCATTTACCATCTCTTCCCTGCACACAACTCATGGGTTCTTAAACAATACTAGGTATACAAACTTTTGGGATATCGACCCTATATCCATTTTATTTTAAATTTGTTATTTTCTGACATGGAGTCTATCAGGTACAATGAGGGGGTCCCCACACCATCGAGATAAATATTACTAAATGATAATCTACAGCATGAATCTTGGTCTAGCTTGAAGCCTGGCTAATATCACCATCACTCTTATTTCCAAGTGCTTCAGATAAGACCAAGAATTACACAGACTTAAACAGGATAATAGTTGACCCTACAAGCCACTAAGAGGAGGTGGAGCAGCTGAGCTGGACTTTGCCCATTCATCTGTTGGGAATGTAAATTAGTAGAACCACTTTAATATTACTTTTCAATATCTAATATAGAAGATGCACACTGCAGGTTCCTGTGTTTCAACACTTGATCCCTAGCTAGTCCACAGCATGGAAGGTTGTGGGATCTCTAATAAGATAAAGCCTTGTTCCAGGAAGCGAGACCCGTGTGTCAGGCCTCATTTCCTCATTTCCTCATAGCCAGGCCTTACATCTATCATCTCCCTGATTCCTGACTTTAGACACGGTGTGATCTACCAGCTCATGTTCTCAGTGCTGTGCCTTAAAACTGTGAGCTAAAATAAACTATTCTTCAGTTAGGTTGCTTCTTGTCAGGTGTCTTATCACTGTAAGCAGAAGAATAACCACAACTACACATTCTAAAACATAAATGCACTTCTGTGAAAACTCCCCAGAAAACTCTCATGTGGGCATACTTCTCAGTGAGGGTCATACTGAGGCATGAACTAGCACACTCATAATGGAAAAATCCTAGAATAAATTCAAAAGAGCCATACAAACTATATGTATTATCTACATAAATTGCATGTCTTAATCAAGGTTTCTATTTCCGTGAAGAGACACCATGATCTCAGCAACTGTTACAAAGGAAAACTTTGAATTGAGGTGGCAATTTACAGTTCACAGGTTCAGTTCGTTGTCGTCATGACAGCAAGCATGGTTTTACCTTCATCTTTATCAGAAGGCAACTGGAAGTGGACTGTGTGTCACACTGTGCAAAGCTTGAGCAAAAAAGACCTCAAAACCTTCCCCCACAGTGACACACTTCCTCCAACAGGGCCATACCTACTCTAACAAAGCCATACCTCCTAATAGTGTCACTCCTTTGGAGGCCATTTTCTTTCAAACCACCACATGAATAAATTAGAAGTCCAAGTATTAACATAGCTACCTCTCAAAAAAAACCTACTGCTGAATACCAAAAGGATAGAATGGGATGAACTTAGAATAATGACAGTGTGGAAGAGAAACAGCAAGCCAACATTATCCTGAGCGTAGACTCTGGTTCCCTGAAATGACATTGGAGCCATTTCAAGACAAGCTTTGCCTCCACCTACAGTGTCAATCCTCTCTTATAAAGGAATGAACCAAATATAAGAAAATGTTCAAATTCTTTTAAATTTAGGACAAGTGTTTGAGGCTCTGTGTGTGTTCTTGTTGTAAGAGGGTTCTATATGCGAACTGCTACATGCTTTGCCTTGCATTTGGGTGCAGAGTCTTGCTGTGCAGTCCTGGCTGGTCCTAACCTCTTGTTAGTCCTCTTGCTTTAGCCTCCCGCTTGCTAGGATTATAAGCATACAGCACCGTGTCAGTCTTAGGTAATGTTTTAGGTGGCCACTGAGAAATAAGAAGTGGGGGGAAGGAAAGGAACAGGTAGGAGAGGTATTAGAAGGGAGGATAAGAAGGAAGGGAGGAGGGGAGGGGAGAAGAAGGAGAGAGATCAGATTCTGCCTCTGTTCCTAGACCTCAGACAAAGGAAATAAATTCTCTGAGACCCTCATTTGCAAAGCAAGATTGACATTGTCCAGAGTTGATTATAAAAATGAATGAGAAGCAGTTTTATCTAGATAACTTTGATATCATCCACTGGATTATTGCTCTTGAATTATTCCCTAATGCCTTTCTAAATGCATCTTATTCTGAGAGATTCATATGTATTAAAGTAATCACAGATTGTGTGTGTGTGTGTGTGTGTGCGTGTGTGTGTTAAACACCCACCTAATCCTGGAAACAAGAATATTTTGCTATTACTTTTACAAAAATCATATACATATGATAAATGGGTATATATACATATCAATTGCTTACTGGCTATGATTATCCTAAGGGGGGAAAATGGGATAATTAGAGAACAGAAGTAGAAGAGAAAGTTCTATTTCTTTGTGATTGTTTTTAAGTGTGAACAAAAAATTAATGTGCACTTCATCTCTTGAATGAACTTAAAAGGAAGTCCTAGAATATAAGTTCCATAAAGGTTCTTAAGAAGTCATACTACTGAAGATGTAGCCAGGTGGTAGGGCATTTTTCAGTATACAAAAACCCTGGGTTCTATGCCCAGCACCACAAAAAGGAAGGTATACAGTTCAAGCCCCTTGGAGGCAAAGGCATTCCAGCCCCCTGGCATCACTCACTTGTCTTGTTGCTATTATAAATTGCCTGGAATAAAAGGCAACTGAAGGAAGGGTTTGTTTTTGGCTCCCATCTTCAGGGTACAACCTGTCATGGAGGAAAAGTCATGGCAGCAGGAGCAAGAGGCTGCTGGTCTCATTGTATCCACAGTTGAGAAGTAGAAAGAGAAGAGCGCTTGTGCTCAGCTGGCTTTTTCCTTTGTATTTGGTCCAGGACTCCAGTCCAGGGAACAGTGCCACCACTTTTAGTGTGGGCCTTCCCATCTCAATTACTTCAATCAAGATCTCTTTCACAGACTTGCCTGGAGCATTAAGCATCACACCCATATTTCCACAGTCAGTCAGATGGACATTTAGAATGGAGGACTTGGTTCAGGGATACAACTCTGGGTCTCCTGAGCATTGAGGAGTCCAGTTTCACATCTATAGTTGGATGATGCCAGCATCACTTCTCACGGTTGCACGGGGTACAAATAAACAACAAGGTGAGTATATATGTACATTTGAGGTATGATTTGTGGAAGTGCCCCACAGAAACACCCATTTGATCCTTTGACAAGTATTGAAGTACCCCAGAAACCTCAAGCCAGGCCCTCACTAGTAGAGAACAGTCATCTTTGCCTTGGATATAACCTTGATTCTCTTGTATCTCCACAGCAAATATCTTGACAGTCATCATCCTTTCTCAACTAGTGGCCAGGAGGCAGAAGTCCTCCTACAACTATCTCCTGGCACTTGCTGCTGCTGACATCCTGGTCCTCTTTTTCATCGTTTTTGTGGATTTCCTATTAGAAGATTTCATTTTGAGTGTGCAAATGCCTCCGATCCCTGACAAGATTATAGAAGTTCTGGAGTTCTCCTCCATCCACACCTCCATTTGGATTACGGTCCCCTTGACTGTTGACAGGTATATAGCTGTCTGTCACCCACTCAAATACCACACAGTTTCCTACCCAGCCAGGACCCGAAAAGTCATTGTGAGTGTTTACATCACCTGCTTCCTGACCAGCATTCCCTACTACTGGTGGCCTAATATCTGGACTGAAAACTATACCAGCACCTCCATGCATCATGTCCTTGTCTGGATCCACTGCTTCACCGTGTACCTGGTGCCCTGCTCCATCTTCTTCATCTTGAACTCAATCATTGTCTACAAGCTCAGGAGGAAGAGCAGTTTCCGCCTCCGTGGCTATTCCACAGGGAAGACCACTGCCATCTTGTTCACCATCACCTCCATCTTTGCCACGCTCTGGGCCCCCCGCATCATCATGATCCTCTATCACCTCTATGGATCACCCATCCAGAACCCTTGGCTGGTTCACATCATGCTGGATGTCGCCAACATGCTGGCCCTTCTTAACACAGCCATCAACTTCTTCCTCTATTGCTTCATCAGCAAGCGGTTCCGAACCATGGCAGCTGCTACACTCAAGGCCTTGTTCAAGTGCCAGAAGCAGCCTGTACAGTTCTACACCAACCATAACTTTTCCATAACAAGTAGTCCCTGGATCTCACCAGCAAACTCACACTGCATCAAGATGCTGGTGTACCAGTACGACAAACATGGAAAGCCTATAAAAGTATCCCCGTGACCCCCATAGGGCTGGCACTTGTGCCTCTGTGTAATCTGTTTCCAGATGAGAGGGTGTCCCATGCTCTGGCTGAACAGCTCTCCTTTAAGAGTGCTAACCTGATTTCCTCTCTCCACAGACTGAGCAGCTCTCAGGCTGGCAGATGAGAAGAGAGAAAAGAGAAGAAAGAAAAGAATGAATCTTGTTTTCCTTTATGCACTTCTTTTCACAAAATCATACCGACAGCCAAAGTTCCTGCTGTCTTAAAGATGCCATTGGGTTATAAATGCCATCATACTGTGACCAATAAAGACCACAGTAGAGAAGTAGTTAGTGCTGGTACCATCTACAGCTACTGGGAACCAACCTCTCAAGTGTGTGTCCACCAAGCCACAACAGTGTGCAGCTGAGCCACACTCTTCTTCCAATAGTTGAGGTCATCCATCATTTCCCTGTACCATTTCCAGAAGCTAACAAGGCTGACTGGTTTGGGGTTCTTTTTTCCAAGATACCCTTTTTCTTAGACAGGGTTTTGGTCTCCAAGTGGCCCTAGCAACTCTGGCTACAGAATGACAGCATGGGGAAAGGGAAGTATCAAATACCATCCAAACTGTTACTGGAATGTCTATGGAGAGACTCCAAACAAACATGACTTTGTTTCTTAGATCTGAGTCTAAGGTATAGTTTTCTATTTGCCATAATGTATAGATTTTATGTCTCCTCTAAAACAAAACCCCTGCCTGGTGTGTAGGGACTAGAAGGAGTTCTTGAGCCCAGAAAAACAAAAAAATCAAGCCCACTCTTGCAACTGTTTCAATTCATCCCTGTGTGAGCTGTACACGATCCTTGCATTCAAAATCACTTCTTGCTGTGGCACTGCACACACTTCCTGGAGATGCCTTCTATGTGTCAAGTTGTTAGCCCTGCGTCCTTGCTTGCTCAAGCCCTCACCAAATGCTTCCAATGAAGTGACATCTAAAATGGAAATAATAGAAGTTGCAGTTATTCTGGTAAGAAGAGATGCCTAGGTCCCACCACAGCCCAGCTGGCATGGCCAATTAAGACCCTAAGTAAGACACAACTATCAGAGGGGTAGTTGTGCTAACCACTGGTCTGTCCTTTCATGTAAGTGACTCAATTAGGTAGTGCCTGTTATCAGTAAAGATGTTTAACTCAGATGCTTCAAAGGTGATAAAATTTATTTATTATTCTCCCCTTGCCTGTTCATTATAAGAACAAATCTAGGATGCAGTAGATAGGGGCTTCCCTGAGAATTACTGTGTGTGTGTGCAGACATAGAAGGTACACAGATAGACATGACTATATTGAACTGGGCCTGTGGTGTGCTTTAAAGAGGATATCCATGCTAGAATACCTATTATTTTGCATTTTATTTCTGCCTCTATTCCAGATTCTCAGTATTTGTACCCATTCCTGATTTGGAAGAAATTTTCCAAAATAATTTTTGAAACTGCATGATAGTTTTGATGATAAAACTAAACATAGTCACCTGGAACACTTGGTTCCATAGGCTTGATCTTTATTGTATTTTCTCCCTAAATTGGAAGGTGTGCTCTGTCATCATAGGGGTTTCTGCAGCAAAAGAATGGGATGGAAAGGGTCCTGGGGCAACACAAGTGCTAAGCTTAGACCAAGGCCCTTCAATACTAACTTGGTGTACTTTGGGATTGTATCGTTCCTGATGGCATCCGTTCTTATCCCTGTTAAATGACTTATGGGAGTGTCTCACCGGACCCAATGGTTAGACTCTGAAGTCAATGCAAAGGAGAATGACCTATGGGGCCTTGGTTCCTGTGCATAGTCCCTCAAGAGAGAGAACCTTTGAACACACAAGAAGCTACATTTTCCTCCAGTCTTGGGACAAGCTGCTGATACTTTGGTTGGAGATAGTAGAGTCAGTTGGCGTTTAGGGAATGTGTTGTATTATTGTGATGTGTCTGAGAACACCAGGACCCAGGTACTGCAAGTCATTACCACTGAAAAGTTTGCAGAAGTTATTCATGTGAGGGATAAGCAGAGCCCTTGCTCCCATCTCACTTGCTCCCCAGAGCATATGCTCAACGAGTGAAATGTGAGCAAAATTCCCCACACCTCTTGAATTGCATTTCTTTCTTTCTCCCCCAAAGCATGTACAATGAATGTATGTTTGTTAGCTATGTGTATGACACAATTCCACTGCATCCCCTACAAGTAAACATTGACCAAAGGCTACCTATGCTGAATATATATTATATATGTGTGTGTTTATTTATTTTTAAAAATGTATATCTCTGAAAATGTTAGTTTGAGCTATACATAAGCAATTCAAAGTGCAATATCTGTAAAGGTTAAGCAATTCCTTTTTGAAGATGTACAAAGGATGGAGAGCAAGCCTGACTCTCAGTGCTGTCTGCTCTGTGTTTTAATTGTAACTAAAATAGTTAATTATTTAAAAGCTGGGTGTAGCTTGGGAATGCTTTCCCCTGACACCCATTTATTACTTTTCGTAACAGTAGAGGTTCTACCAGGTAGTATGGCAGCATCTCTCTTATCTGACTACATTTTCTATTCTCTAAGAAATCCTTTAAGTTAATCCATGAAAGCACTCCAGAGAGTTGCTGCATCTTCTGTTTAAAATGCACATGGATACCCTTTTGGTTTAGGCTGATATAAATAAATATACATATAATTAGCCTAATCCAAAGTTTAAGATTACAGAAGGAGCATTCATTTATTATTGACAATAATAATAATGGACAATGACGAAGTTTTTAACTTTAAAATTGTAACCCTTTTCATTCGGGCCGGGTTTGGATATGAAGCCTTGAATATTGAAGCTTGTCACATAAACAGCTGCTGCTAAGGGCAAACACCTTAGCCTGGGTTTTTGTGGTGCTTCTTTCAAAGACTGTTCACCATCACCTCCATTGCTGTATGATTGGTGTCGTTGTACATGGTGGCAGTGCAATACATGTGCATGCCAAGTCTTTTTCTTAGCAAATGGAAGCCTGCAGAAGGAAATGAGGGGCACAGCAAACCATAAAAGGTAAGCCATGTGAAGGCATGAACATCCATGTTCCAAACACCTTGCAATAGAAAGAGTTATTTTGCACAGCTGGTGCCTACTTGTCCAAAATGGGGAGCCCTTTGAACGTGCATTAAGGACTCTAATAGTGACTACTACTGCTCAAAAGTAGAACAGGAGGCTACCACTGAAAAATAGGAAATGTTCATATTTTCTTAACTAGATAATATATTGTGTTTGGACTAGTTTGTATTCTAATAAATTCTAACATGGTGCGCATTTGGTGTTTGCTGTTTGCATATATGTTTAATCAACTGCAGAATGCTGGTTTTTATTCATATAATTTTAATTGATAAATCATAATTGTATACATTTATGGGGTGCAATGTGGTGTTTTGATATATGTATTAAATGTGTAATGATTAAATCAAGCAAATTAATGCACTGCCTCACATATTTGTTTTGAGACATTTGAAACTTACTTTTGTGTCCATTTTGAAGTTTGCAACACACTATTTGGATTATAGAACTTCTTCTATGGAACAGATCATCTCAAAAAATTCTTCTGTCTAATTGAATCTTTGTACCCTTTGACAGACAACTCTCCATTCCTTGGCTCCCACTTTCCCTACCTTCTGGTAACCATTTTTTCATTCTTTATTTTTATGGGCTCAATGGTGTTTTTTGTTTGTTTGTTTGTTTGTTTGTTTGGCGTATGTTGTTGTTATTATTGTTTCTACACACAGGTGGCATCATATAATGTTTGTCTGTCTGGAGTTGAGTTATTTCATTTAGTATAATGTTCTCCAAATATCAAAATGCTGGTGAAAGTTTTAAAATATTTTTAAATTTTCATTTTCCTTATATGTTCTGTTAAGTGTTAGCATAAAAATAAAAGCCCAGACTGGAAAGATGACTCAGCCATTAAAAGCTTGGCTCACAACCAAACACACACACACACACACACACACGTACACACACAAAAGAACAAGACAAAAACAAACAAAAACCCATGAGAATCTCACCTGCTTCTTTGTTGGTCTTATGGATTTCAAAAGGTTAGACCACAAATTTCTGCTACTTGTAATCCTAAATTGTTCAGTACTGGATGTAAATCTGGATTCCAGTGTAATTTCATCCCCTGTTAATCTTTGAGGCAATAAGAGCTGTAATCATAAATAGAATAGCACATGGCAAAGTGTTCTGACTTCCATGTCAGACAGTGGTGGTTCATACCCCTGGTGTACTATAGACCATCTTCAGCAGCTCCTTCAAGACTAGAATCTTAAGTATTGTTCTTATCTGGAAAGTGCTACAAATTGTAATAGTTTCCATTTGTCTACAAAGCATGTAGATGCTCTCATGGTGAGACACCTATCATTTGGAGTAGAGCATTATGGGCTGTGTGACCTTGGGCAATGTTCACAATCTTCTCTGAGTCTCCATCTCCCCTTCACAATGGGTGCAGATCACCTTCCCAGTAAGTACCTTGTAGGGTGCTATCATTAGAATTTTTACAGATTCCCCTAGTACTACACTTTATAAGTAAAGATGCTAAACCCAAAGATGTGAATGGATCCCTCCAGAATGAAACTCAGTTCACTCAGTAAGTATGTTACCCTTTCCACTGTATCTCACTGGATCATCTGAGTCATCCTCCAAAAGGTCACATTATTTTCATGACCTTTTTTTAAGACTTGGAAATATTGTCTATCACTGCAGCTTTTCAAGTCCAGGTCACCCAAGCATGAGATATATTATAACTGCATCATAATTAAAATACACAGCTTGACATTTCTCTGTAAAGTAGAACTTTTCTTTAAATTGATTGTATCAGCTCTCAAACTCTCTATGCATTTTCCCACACAAACCACCATCAGTTCTGACAGCCACCCACAAACTATTGTCACAATCCATCTTCGCATCATCTTAGAGACTGAAAGTGACATATAAGTTAAAGAGAGGTACAGAACAGCAGAACAATTGTCAAAAGGGTCACAGGATCTGTTAGCCACACCACCGTATCCTCATTAATTTTGCTCAGAGAAGCAGGATAAAAGTGAGCCGATGGAGGCTGAACTGTTAGATAATGATCCTTTCATTAATACATTCTGCTAAATGATGGCTCAGCCTCTTTGGAGGGTGTGCAATTAATCCAAATACTTGCCAGACACAACAAGGGGAATGAGAGACTTGTGTCTATGGGGATAAATAGATACTGTGAATATCCTGGATTTGTTGGGAGAATATGCTACTGTGATGCCCAAAAAAGAAGGGAAAGAGAGTTTCCCAACTTAAAAAAGAGCAAATAAGGCAAGAGGGAAGGGGTGACCTTGTCATGAACTCTCTGCACAGGGTTTACCCTGTACATGAGCTCTGTTACCTATGGAATGAAAGTGACACAGTATTTCTTTCCAAGTGAGATGTAATCAGAGGAATTGAGTAAAAACTGCAGCAGGTAGCATTTGTACTAAATCCAAAGAAGAAATCTGCATGAGGATGTTTATTAATCCCACAAATGAGCTTCAGTGGCAGCTCTCAGAGTTCACCAAATCACACTCAGAGGTTTCAATGTAGAGACTTTAGTCAAGAGACTCTTAACAAGGGTCTGAGCAAGAACCAGTAAGCACTGTTGTGATGCCTGGGAAATGATGAGAAAGCCCCTCCCCCTCCACTGTGACATTGGATGAGAGCTGGCATCTAGAAAGGGACTCTTCCATACTATTGTCAGACTTAGGATGCCAGAGAGAAAGGTAGAGTAATGTTTCTCCAGTTCTCCTTTTTTTCCACTTATGTCTACACAGATGCCTCCCACTACTAACACTCAAACAGAAGTCCAGGGGGGAGGAAGATCAGGTGGTTCATTTATAGTGACCAGATTCTCATGCAACATGTGAAGAATAGATGAAGAGTAGGATGAAACAGAAGCAACTTAAGAATAAACAACAAAGCTTGGAGTTTTATTTTTATTATCATTGAGTTCTTCAAGGGACAGTAAGGCTCCTTGAAATTATATCATCAAAAGATCCAAAAAGAAAGCTAAAACACAAGTAATCTCCCCTTACCCGAAAGCATAGAACCTACATATTAGTAAACACGATTCCAATAATCTTTCTACACATTTTCCAAAAAGCACAAAATGCATCATATACCTTCCAGAGCCTGCTTTAAACTTCCATGATCATAAATTTATCATATCAATTTTCAGAATTTCCATTGACCAGGCTATCAACTTAAATATGTTTAAGGATAGAATGCAGTCATTCATTTATAACCCACTGGGCCCTGGGCATTCTTTTAGTCATTTATTTATTTGACTGATACTTATTACAATATGCAACATGCCAAAATCTATTCTAGTCAGTAATTTGTTAGTGAACAAGACATATAAGCCTCTTATGGCAGGTATTCTCCATAGAGAGAAATTGAATTGGAGAAAGCAAGTTAGATTAAAGCAGACAGTGATGAGTGCTGAGACAAACAGAAGTAAGCAACCCAGATCAGACAGAAACAACATTAGATAACTCATTCAAGAAAGCTCTGTTTGAGAAGATGGCCAAAGAACTGGAGCTCAGATTTTTAAAAATGAAAGAAGAAAGAAAGAAAGAAAGAAAGAAAGAAAGAAAGAAAGAAAGAAAGAAAGAAAGCAACTACAGAAAAGGGACTAGAAAAGGGAAAGGCCTTGAAATACAAATGACCTTGAGCACTAGTGGGAGGTCAGAAGACTAGAACTGCTGACACATCATGATTCAGCAATAGGATGTTATGAAATAAGGCAGGGCAAGGTAGCAAGAGTCATATCATGCAGAGCTTTGTGCCCTGGTAAAGATCCTGAAGGGAAATTGCTGGGCATCTTAAGCAAGGGATTGATGTGGTCATTCCACCTCTGTCCTCATGAGTCTTGAAGGAAAGCACACTCATTTCCATTTTTCAATTGAAAAGTAAAAACTTATCCATGGAAATTAAATTAAATTTACTCAAAATAACAATGAGTTACTCATGAGTTGGTATTTAAGTCCAGGCCTGCCTGCTTCCAAGAGCCCTTTCAACAGGCCACCTTGACATGTTGTCTTTGATGTACTACATTCCTGGTGCTAAATTAGCAGTTTGGTCCCATTAGCCTTTTCCTCATCCAAACTTGATATTTAGGCTACAGTCATCCTCAAATTCCATTAATGAGGAGCCAGAAATCATCCAGGCATAATACCCTGCGGTTCCTCTTCATGACCCAATTTGTATGTTTGATGAAATCTGGCAGATCCTAATCTCAGCACTACAAATAAGATAGTAAAACAAAAAAATGAGGAAGACAAAAGCAAGTATAAACTTTTATGTTTTCCCTGAATCATCCTTAGTAATAATATATTTTATTCATAAAATATCTTATTTTACATATCAATCCCAGTTCCCTCTCCTTCCCAGCCTCCCACTTCCCACCCCCACTATCTCCCCACCCCATCCCACATCCAATCCTGAGGGAGAGTGAGGCCTCCCATGAAGAATCACCAAAGTCTGTCACATCATTTGGGACAGGACAGAGACCCTACCCCCTGTATCTATGCTGAGCAAGATATCCCTCCATATGGAATGGGCTCCAAAAACCCAGTTCATGCACTAGGAATAAATACTGGTTCCACTGCCAACTGCCCTATAGACTGCCCAAGCCCCCAACTGACACCCACATTCAGGAGACCTACTTTGGTCATATGTAGGTTTACCAGCTGTCAGTCTGGAGTCAGTGAGCTCCCACTTACTCAGGTCATCTGTCTCTGTGAGTTTCCTCAACATGGTCTTGATATCACTCCTCCTTCTCTACAACTGGAATCCAGGAGTTCAGCCCAGTGTTTAACTGTGGATCTCTGCTTCTGTTTCCATCAGTTGCTGGATGAAGGCTCTACATAGTAATAATACTTTTTATGGCATCGTTTTATGAAGGCTTTCACCCAGAGATTTTACCCGTTGGCCTTTCTCCTTTTAGACTAGCAAATGTGTCCCTGTCCGAGGTCCTGAAAATGTCCATGACCAATCAAGTATCTGAGAAAATTCTAGGTATGAAAATAGAAAGTTGTCCTCCCTCTCCCCATAAAAAGACCTGGAATATTAAATATCAGTGTGTGTGTGTGTGTGTGTGTGTGTGTGTGTGTGTGTGTGTGTGTGTGTGTGTGTGTGTGTGTGTGTGTGTGTGTACCTGAATACATCAAGATCTGAGAGCTGAGGTCAGTATCGCTCACATTAGGTCTGGACTGACTTTACTAGGCAAGCTGGCCAGTGAGCCCCAGTGATGCTGCTGGACCTAGATCCCTAACATTGGGATTGCAAGTGTATGCCACTATGCCTAGATTCTTATATGACTCCCAGAGTTTCATGCTCGCATAAATGCTGTTTAAACTGAACTGTCTACCCATATTCAATCATGCTTTATTTTTTTAGAAGATGTAAG